TGTTCGGCTTGATCACGAGAATGATTGAGACAGTCGACAGTGATGAGCGTATTGGATTATGTCACACTCAAGGGAGAGACATTATTCAACGGAGCATTGTTGAGAGGAGAAATGACCTTTATTTTTTCTCTATTTCTCACAATAAATGATCTCGTCGATAAAAATAAATTGCAAGGAGTGCGACGAAATCAAGGACGAAAGAAGCAAATCACTATGAAAAATAACTTTTTCGTGTAAGATGACTGATCACTACTATCGTCCTGGTCGTGGCGTACCAGCTGTATCATGAAAGTTAAAAGGNCCTCAGGAAATTAAGAGTCTTACCTTGTTAAATCGAACAATTGCAGTGTAAGGAGCCATAGTCTTTCAACTGATATTCATAGCATCTCGCAGCGAATGTATTTGAAGGCCCAGTGGTACCGGAAGACAGTTTAAAATAGATAACTGTTATCATATTTCATGTGAAATTAAAGAGAAACATTTTAAATATAACTACGAAGAGCGACTACTCTTATTTTTGAATTAGCCAAATATTATAAATATATAGATGAGACTGGTCTATTCTTTCTGGTTATTTGAGTCAATTTTAGGCAAAAAAGGCATCAAGAATAGCTTTTCTACAAACTAAATTCGAAATTCATTTTTAAGGTAGAGCATGTTCTGATTTATCATCTATTTTGTGTTTGAAACTGCATATTTCCAAACACTATAATTTGATCTTGAGTAAAAACTTTCGTCTCCTGCTGTCTCATGCGGAGCTCTGGACCTAATGATTGGCAGTTGTATTACTCGCTAAAATAACTTCTATTTATATAAGTACTCCATTAAGTGAATAGTATTCGATAGCATATTGAATACACAGGATTTCTAATTTAATCATTAAAAGCTTTATGAATCATTCCATTATAGAATTTTTCGCTTTTATTAGATAAACCAATAAAATAGTATACAGATAATTGTAATAGAATATTTACTTCGATTCAATCGAAAACACTAACAAAAAATTAAAAAGATTTAAAAAATACATTTCAAATAATTATAGTTCGAGACGTGAAGGCTATTCTGTGTTGATTAGTTGGCTTGCTAAATCAATGGTAGATTATTTACATTAAAACATACCAGCGCACTCATCCCCATTGAACGCTTGATCCTCCGTTTCATTTTTCAGTTCGATCTCTCACTAAATCAATTCTTAGTAAGAAATAATTAGAACATAAATACTATGACAAAAGATATATGATTGAAAACGTAGGATTCAGTTTAAAATATAACAACATCTTTTTTCTTGTCTATGCAACGATACTACTTTTTCTGTGAGACATTGCAATTGATTTAAACCTGTGAAAGTAGACTCAGAAGAAATAAATGATAGAGCAACTACGGTATGTAATTGCACAACATCAATATGGATGCAGTTGAAATAATATATTCTATATGAATTGTAACAACAGAAGGCTAAAGCGTCTCGATTACTTCGCTTTGTAAATCAATGGTAGATTATTTTTCTGAAACAAAAAACGTTGCGAGTTCAATTCTCGCCGAAGCACCCAACCCAACCGAACGCGCAATCCTTCTCTGTATTTTTACTTTAAAATAGATTTGCCATGAAATTCGTTTTCAGCGTGTCACAAGAAATATATATTTAATCAAAAAACAAAAAGACTCTTAATTTAAAAATAAACTATATGCCATTGTTTATCCTTGCGAATGTATAAAAAAATGAAGTTTTGTGGTTTTCTGTTTGATCTATGCAAAAACAATGTTTGTATAAATATGGTTAACGACATGAGAGTTTAGTCAAATGAATTGAATAGTTTTTTTTCCATCAGAGATTTTTATTCATGACATTTTATAGGATATCTACGCATATAGTATTTCGTATAGCTTTGAAATCAATAGATAGTAACAACTTACCTCCTTCTACGGTAGACTCCACCGAGTTTTCTCTTAAAATCTTTCAAGTAACGGGTGGGCCATAAAGAATTACATTATTCTGTTTTCGCTATAACTCAGTCAGTTTTGATGCTATTGGCCAAAGCTTTTTTCAAAAAGATTTGCCATTCAATTCTCTACAAAACCATATGTAAAATATTCTTGTAAACTATCAAACGGCTAAGTTATAAAACGAAGAGAACAGGTTTCTAAAATGTTTAACTTTCATGCTCAAAAGCCGTTTTTTTCTCAAATTCGCTTTCTATGGGAGAGCTACGAAGAAACTAAGACAACCATCTTAAAGAGCATTAAATTCTAGACAAGATGAATATCTTTGAAAATTTTCTTGATTAAAAAATGCGTAAAAAATTCAGGATAAATTTTTTCACTTTTTTGGAAAAACTCAACTTTCATTTCATGTTTTCTTGCTTGCACGAAAACGCATGCCATTCAATAAAAAAAAAGATCTTTTTTGACGAGTTTTTTTTCTTTAAAAGTCAACATACTAGACTATATCTCTGCATACTCCTTCGAGTCATGCAAAGTTTTCCTCCGGTTGGTTTTCGTGAAAACCCCAATTAAAACGCTTCGGACGAGTTTTCGAAAAGTATCGATTTAAGAGGCGAAGGTCACTTTGAAAGAAAAGCTTTTCAAGGATATCGGAAGAAGCGTATTTGAAAATGCCAGAAAATGTTTCTCGGGCAATTTAGCTAATCCTGCGTATAAATTGGCGAAACGTACTCCAAATATTAATGCATCTTGAGCTTGTAAGTTGAACATTTTAGAAACCTGTTCTCTTCGTTTTATAACTTAGCCGTTTGATAGTTTACAAGAATATTTTACATATGGTTTTGTAGAGAATTGAATGGCGAATCTTTTTGAAAAAAGCTTTGGTCAATAGCATCAAAACTGACTGAGTTATAGCGAAAACAAAATAGTGTAATTCTTTATGGCCCACCCGTATAGTCGAACGAATTTTCTCATGCTACACGACTCATCATAATCGAGCTGAAAAACATCGCTCAAAAGTATAAGTAGTATCTTGGAAAAACAGTCAAAAAGAAAAGACAAATCTATTTGTGTTCAATGTTCTATTGAGCAACAGGTTTTCGTTTCATAAAAATTTCTGGAATTAAGACAGCATATAGATTCATAATACTATAGCAATAGGTCTTTCTGATATAATAAAAAATGAATATCTCAAAATTATGTTGCAGAATTCATAGCATTCGCTTGTGTATAATATTCTTGTGCTTTTTTTATGGAACCCTTTTTTTCATGAACCATACCAATATTTCGAAGTGCTGCTGCAATACTAGGATGTTGATTAGGTAAAAATTTTAATTTGATTTGAAATGCTTCATTATAGTGCTCTAGTGCATGATCATATTTTTTGATCATAAAATAGATATTACCGATATTGTTATGTATCGCACTTAGACTGCGATAATCGATCGGTACATGTTGTTTTGCTATGTTTAATGCCATGTTATAGTATTCGAGTGCCTTTAAATAATCTTTCTGATCTTCATAGACAGCGCCAATGTTATTTAGACACATGGCTACTTTTGAATGATTCTCGCCGAATGATTGTTCCCAAATTTTCAAAGCTTTCTCATATGACTTCAGTGCTTGAACATAATCATGTTTTTTCCGGTAAACTATTGCAATACTATTGTAACTCGATGCTATATTGGGATCGCTTGAATTTAGATTTTCTACTCTGATTGCCAATGCATCCATATGCCACTGAAGACTTTCATCGTATTTGCCTTTCGCAGTAGCTAGAGTACCTAATGAATAATAGCAATCAGCATTATCTTTAGGGCTATGTGACGATTCATTTAGAAAACGGCGATAGTATTTTTCGGCTTCATTAAATTTTCCCATATCACGTATTGTATTACCATATGTAAGCATATTTGTGTCTTGTTTTATATATTCATTTTTCATTTGATTAATAATCGATTTTGAATCATGATGTTCATCACTGGCAAGAGCAAGTTGAACGGTCCATAATTCATCTTTGTCACAGTCAACATTAAGTATTTTAAAAATTGATCCGAACATAAACAGGACCTCTTCTTCGTCTGGATAAAAACTAGATGATGTTATATTAGCAAACGGTTTGATACCTTTCAATTGAGGATCAGCTTCAATTTCGAATAAAACCTGTTCAAGATCACTCGAATAATCGAGAAATAGAAGAGCTTTATCACGACGCGTACTTGTAGAAAAAAATGAATTCATAGCGATATGTTTACCAATGTAGTTTTTAAATAATTCGATTTCATCTTTTGACATTAGTTGACATCGATAGAGACGCAGTGACGACGAACACCGTCGTTTTTCTAATTGTTGTCCAATATCACGAATAAAAAAACGAAACAAAAATAGTAAATCAATATTTAACACACGAAGTGCTTTATTCATAAGCCGATAGAGAAATGCCTCTCGTGTATACCACCATAAACATCTTTCAGAAGAATAATATTTTTCGAAATCATTGAGCACTGATAATTCCTTTGAGTTCCCTTTATAATAATTCTGACAGAGGGTAATGAATTCTTTCTTTTCAACTGAATTTGATTTCATACGCAGAAGACAATCGATCAATAATTCAGACTGAATAAATTGACCACTAAGATCATTCGTTGATTGTTCTTGTTTAGTATTTCTATTACTTAAATTTATAGGCAAAGGCTCATCAACCTTATTGCGACTTCGCCGTTCTTGATCTGACCGAATCAGAGAAATCAGTTCATCTAATAAAACAATTATACCCCTAACCTAAAACGACCAATAAATATGACTCGAGTAATTATTTGTAATATTCATCTACTTTTTTAAATTGATTAGCCCATAGTTCATTTCGTTTCTTATCTTTACAGTAGACATAAATAGCAGCGAGTTGTCGTAATGAATGAATGCGTGGTACTATGATTTGACCGAGCCGACCACTCGCTATGAGTACAACGCGATCGTCTCTTTGCAATGATTTAATATAGGTTTCACATTTATCAGCATCATCAAATGTTTTCAAAAAATTTATCGAGGTTCGAAGTTGATGTTGAGCATCGATATTTTCTTGTGTTTCATTTACTGAGGCATCGAGCCAAATAAGAGAGAATGTTTCAAGATTTTCTTCAATCATGAATGTTGCCACTATATTTTCAATTCAGTCACGCGTTTGCAAAGTAATCTATGCAATGCAAAGCTACCACGATACAACAACCAATCACGTAACGGAAGAAAAGAGCTGTCTATTGGTGATAAATTTAGCCAAGCAGAAAATTGAAAGCCTAGGAATATGATTATAGAGGACAGAATGGTTCTTAGTAACTAGCATAAATTCCAACCATAATGTGTATAATACTTACTCTCATAGTTTAACCATACCTAATCACAAACGGATACGTATTGATATCGATGACTAAGATTACGTAGGAAATATATTTGCTCTTCAAGTCACTTTCATTGAGTTACAGATAGTAGCGTCCAAGGGTGTGGGTGTGGGTGTGGGTGTAGGTGAAAGCATAGATATAGTGTTTAGACCAACACCATACCCAAACCCACACACATGCATACCCACACCCACTCTTCTCGTAGACGGATACATGTTTGATCTGTATGTAAAGATAATTGGAATCGATTTTTGATTTCGATTGTGAAAGTTTGCCATGATAAAAGTCGATGTTTTTTTTGCTCGAACCAACTTTTAGCATCATTGGTTAGACTTTTCGGAATAAGTTTTAATTTGATTTCTTCACTGACTAATGTGGAAGAAAAATCCTGTTCAATATTCTGTAACCATTCGTCTACATCATCATGTTTATTGCCAGAGTGTTTTCGAATATTATTAATTTTTTCTTTAATTAACTGTTGTTCGATGAAGTTATCATATTTAAATGAATTATTTCCAAGTGATTTCTGAAGTGGTTGTGGTTCCATGGATGATAAAGATGACATTGAATTAATATTAGAATTATTATAAATGACAGAATGTGATGCAACTCCATGATGTTGTTGGTGAAATTTTTCATTCATTAATTCTTGAATATGTATCTGTTGTTGAAGTAAAAGTTAGCGTTGATCTTCAATAACTTTCTGTGTTTGAGCTAATTCGGCAGCAAATGTTTCACGTAATTGTTGTAATAGAGTATTTGAATGCGATGATCCACCGTCAGTTTTGATATTGTCAATTGTTTCCTGGATTGGAGAATGTATTAAACATTTCTTTTCTACGTCATGGAATTGTTGATGTTCTTTATCAGTATTAGATATAAACGATAATGAATCGATATTTGTTGTTAACTGTTCCATATTATCTCCTTGTTGTACTAAGTCAATTTCGTTGAAATCGGTATTTTCTGTATGTGTCTGTGATCGAGTACGTGAAGCGATAGGATTATCGATTGATTGTTCCATAACAACGAATGTTGACTAGTAATAAGAGTATTGCCGGGTTCGTTCGCTTGATTGAGAGTTGTTATTCAATAAGCGTGGCTAGTGCACCAATTGTTACAGTTTATCAAGGCCAAGAAAATTGTCCCTATCTTCGCTTCCTTTTATTAATGAATAATAATCACTTTTCACCTCCTTAACAACAAACGCTCTTGTACATATATATATATATATATGAGTAGAAGAAAAAGAAGATCAACGAAGAGAAGAGAATGTAGTAGAAGAAGATCAAAGAAGAGAGGAGAAGGAGAAAGAAAAGAAAATACATATATCAACCATGTACTACATCTAGCGAACAAGAATATAATTGTTCGCTTACACTGTTCTCTGTCGTTCTTCTCCTTTGCACGTGACAAAGTGTAAGCGGCAGAGCGGTATAAAGTTATTATTTCTGCGCTGCATTTTTCGTCAAACCATTCTAGTACTGTAGGGTGTGTGCATAGCGGCGTCTACACATACACACACATCAGTTTGTGTGAATGTAGCGATGTAGTCAAAATATAGTAGTACCAGTTACATTCATATTCACTTTAGATTGTTCATATTGAAGACAGTGGCAGTTCCATGCTTAAAATAAGTATCTTTTATTTTCTATCTTGTTTAATTGCTTCTGAACTATTTCAACATAATTCTGATCAATCTGATTACGAAAAAAGAAAAATTATATTGTTCTTTTCGTCATTTTTGGAACAACGTCTCATGCAAAGCCAATGCTTTACATTGGAGAAGAAATATCTAAACGAGACCATGAAGTTGTTTATATGGGTACCCCAACAACTATACAATTTGCTAAATGATTCAATATTCTGACTATTCCTCTTAAAACTCCTTCAGACATTCAACCTGTTAAAATGTTTACTTCCAATATGATAGATAAAGATGCGCTCATGCTAAACGGATATTCAGATGCAAAAATTAAAAAATTGGAAGAAGAAATGGTTGAATTAAGGAGGAGCACAGCCGAACAGGTATCCATTGCCACTTTGATTTCAACAGGATTTCACCTGGTTGTTGATGAAGCCTATGAAACAGCTGTCTTTGGATTATTGGATGCTTTTGAAAAAAGAAGACCCGACTTGATTATTTGCGATTTTATGGGAATGGCTTGTATAGATGTATGCGCTCATCTTCATATACCTTATATGATTATGGTTTTCTCTCTTGCATACATCGACCATCTTGAGTTGCCCAAATACATTCCCAATCAGCACATTGGTAGATCATTTTTCTCAATTACTTTTTGGAAACGTTTCTATGATAAATTTATTCTTGGTCCTCATGCTTTTGCGCTCATTTTTCTTGGAATTCAAAAAATGAATCGAATTTGAACCAAGTACGGATTACGAACATACTATAATCCTCTAAGTAATATTGCGCATCATCATGTTCTTCTGACCTGTTTCGTTGGCTGGACTATTCCTCACTTGATCTCACATTTCATTCACACGGTCAGACCCATAATAGGAAAAAACGAACTTGGAAAACAACATCCTGATGATTTATTTCATTGGTTGGAAGAAGCCAGAACATTGAATGAATCAGTTATTCATGTTCCCTCTACTGAAAGGAGGGTATTACGAAAAACGAGTTAAATGTGTTCGTTCGTAAGTTCGTAAGTTCGTAAGTTCGTNTTATAGAACAGTTACACGTTGTCTCGATCAGAAAAGTTGAAACAATTTTCGAAAATAGGACATATTTTGAATTTCTTCCGAAGACAGGTCGTGAAATAATTGCTCAACTCGTGTGAAATATCTGAAACTTATATTTGTCGTGATTATCTTAATAAGTTTAGTTTTTCCTGATTGCGAGTGGATTTGATTCAAAAGATGTTAATCTTAGATTTATCTATGTGTGAACGTGCACCCGAGAATGAATATATCCATTCTAGTCGGGAAACGCACCGAAACAAAATGAACCCACATGTGGTGGAGCAAAAATTAGGACAAATCTAACCGAAAGCGAGTTAGAAAAAGTCAGTTTGATGTAATTTCTGATCTACTCGTGCAGATTCATGTTAAATATCTAATTGATAGACCAATTTGAGTTGTAACTTTACTATAATGGGGTATTTAGATCATAGCTCTCCTGAATGAGTCTTTTTCTTCACTCCGTTATCAAGCTGATCGAAAGTTTTCGGAGCATAGCTTGAGGTGTAGCAGATCGGATGCACTTAACTTTACTATTGCCATATAGTATTAGTGAGTACTACTTAAATGCCGTTTTCTTGGTGATACTTCCAAGCATGTTTTCTATTTATGCTCGATTATCAATCGTGTTTTCCATGAAAATCATTTCAAAGCTATAAAATGTGAAGTCTCTCAGCTAGATAGTTTAGAATAGGTACGTTCTACATGACTAAATCCTTTCAGTAGAGGGTCAGCGGCGCTTATGCCGCGTTACTTGTTGCCTTTGGTAGTATTGCCATTCCTTCTAGCGATCATATCAAAGTTCTACTGGATGGATTTTTTATGGATTCATCCTGTACTTTTCATATAAGAAAAGATTCATCTTCTTTAAGAATCTTATGGTCCTTGAGTGGACTTTCAATGATAAATTTTCCGCTGGAAACTATAAACAAATACGATGGGTACAATATTCGTTTTGAAGAGTGGGTGCCTCAATTGAATGTCCTTGCTCATGAGTCAGTAAAATTGTTTGTTACACATGGCGGAATGGAAAGTATTCATGAAGTACTTTATGTGGGTAAACCATCTATTATCGTACCATTCTTTGGTGACCAGCATGCAAAAGCTGTTTTGAGTCGGGATCGAGGTCTTGGAGATTTTTTAAACAAGAACACAATGACTTCTATAGATATTTGTAAAAAAGTACACAATCTTATTATCGACTACGGAAATCGCTCTTCAGAGCTCTACCATAATTTTTATAAAATGAGTCGAATTGTTAATTATAATCTCAACAGCTATAAAGAGATTTATAATGTGCTGGAAATGGAAATGGAAAATGGATCACAACATCTGATTCCACCTTCTGTTTCATGGATTGTTGCGAATGATGCAGACCTTTGGGCAACTATTTTCGCAATAATATCGATCTCGGTTTATGCCATATGGTTTGCATACAAGAAATTATGTAGCAAACAAAAAGAAAAAGTAAAAACTAACTAACGTACAATCAGGTAGAAAACAAAAACTGTCATTTGTCTTGATTTTTATTACCGCGACTAAATGGAGGGTCATATGAAATAAAATGAGTTTGCTTGCTTGATTGCATGCATCCATGTTCCAGATCACGTGTTCAAATGTGTCTTGAAAGGTATAAAGTTTGACCGAAGGTAATCGGAGTCGAACAATCCGAATTGGAGTACTAGGTTGAAGAAATATTGTTTGAGGAAAACGATGTTCAAGTACGAGGTTACTAAAATTGTCTATGTTTGTATTTTTACTAGAGATAGGCTTGCTGCGGATGCACAATAATCATCTGCTGTAAAAGCGTATATCAAGCAGAGACCAACTAGGCTTGAGTGATGCCCAAACGGACGGTTAGACTAGGGTGTGGGTGTTCAATCTCCTCTACATCCACACCCTCATGTGGATACGACTGAAACACTCACTCTTTTTCTAGTTTATAGCCTTTTTTTGTCATAGCATATAATCACAAGTATGAGATAGTCAAAATGTGCATATTAAAATAAGATCTGCGTTATAAAACGATAAACATCTCGCCTGTGGTCAAGTTTCGAATTCATTATTTCACTTAGGATGAGCTTGTAGGGACCAGGGTGTGAGTGTGGGTGTATTTTCTTCTCAATAACACCCACACCCTGAAGCTATCTCAAATAAATGCATCTGTTGATAACTGCTATATACACGTTAGAAGCACTCATTTTTCTTAGATCGATGTATGAAATCAGCTAACGTAAAAGCACCTCGAATATCTCTAAGAGATGAATTTGCTGATGTCGCATACAAAAGGACTTCAACTTTGTTTCGAAATTCTCCTTCGTGCTTCGTCCTATGTCAAAAATTATACAAGGCGAATATCGACATACAGTCCTCTATAACTTTCACACAAATGTCTTCAATCATGAAAAGAATTCCCCCGAAAGTTTTCGTAGCACTGTGGAGGACTTCTTGAAGTGAACGTCTTTTCAAGAGGCCTGGGAAGGTTAGCGAGGATTTTAAAACTAATCCTTCTTTCATTTGCGCACAATATTTGTAGAAGGAACCAAATAAGCTACTTTTACCAACTCCTTTTTTCAACAGGAACTTGTTGTTAAATTAAGGATACATAAATTATGATAATATTTCAGCACACTTACATAAGCATGAACATAAATTCATCTACACTCACCCTTACCCATATAATCACGTCTTCAATTTTGTAAAGCATTGCTATCTCGGCTTGCCTCCATAGTTTAGAGAGCCATTCTTTAGATAATACTTTTATCGAAAAAGAGGAATTTAATTAGGAGAGGCCTTTCACTTTCAACTTAATCGTAACTCAAATATTTTTATTAGTTCCCTGAAAATCTACAAAGAGAGATGGCATGCCCATAATCCTTGTTATTCTTATCTTGAGAGATACTCATTTTTTTAACTAGGATTAGTTTCCTACAAATTTTGATAGCATATCTTAATCTTAGTCTAAGAACAAGCCAACAATCACTGACGGTATATAAAAGACGCAAAATTGAGCTAGACAATATACAGAAGGATGAAAAATCAGTTATTCATCGTGATCCAGATCATTGGTTGCTTATATCAAGGGTTTGGATTCTCTGATGGACTATGTCCAGCAGGTTTCTCATGTCGAAACTTCAAAAATAGTTCTCCACCGGCTCCTTGCCCACCGGGTACATTTAGTATCCTTGGTCAACATGACTGTAAACCGTGTGCTCCAGGCTACTACACGAATCACAGTGCTTCTGAGTCCTGCGAAGCATGTCCAGCAGGTTTTATGTGCCCATTTGCCGATCAAAATCCAGTGGCTTGTCCTGTAGGTACATATACTTCTTTTACCAGACAATCATGCTGTTCTCTCTGCCCAGTTGGTACTTACAACACTCGTATTGCATCAACCAATTGCGTAAAATGTCCTGCCGGTGCCTCGTGTCGTCCAGTCTCTCCACCTAGCTGCGGTGAGTTTAAATTAGAAACTATCTTTAGATCTGTCCAGTAATTTTAGTACGAACTACAATAGCACTTGAAAAGGCAACTCTATTAAACTTCTCCCTTATTCTGTTATTTCACGTTTTAATCTACAACTTCAAGGTTCATGTAACATATAGATGCTACCCAATTACATTTCTATAAGAATACAATGAAAAAACGATTTTGAGATTCCAAGGTAAAAAAATGATGTCGCATACACTAGAAAACCAAAAACTGGTTTATAACTTTTCGATGAGAACGAGGCCTTTTTTCTGTGCTATACCCCAATTTTCTTGAAATATAATCTAGTTTAAAGTCGTATGTGAATCTCCGGCGAAAATTTGATGAAATTGGTGGTCATTTGCCAATTCTCGGTCACATTGACTGCTTTCTTTGAGTAGTCATGATATTATTGAGAAAGCAAATAAATACTCCAACGCTGAAATTTCATGGTTCAAACGCGCCTCAATAATACCAAATTGTACGCACTATCTAATCCGGTGTTGTTGCTTACAAGTCGAAGATTAAATGCTATAAAATGTCGTGTAAACTGCTCGACGATAAACAAAAGCTGTTAGCGCAATCCCTGTGGGATTAAAATGTGAAACACGATGAAACTTCTTTGTTGGAACTCGTCTACCACGGTCTGTAATCATATATGCAGCTTTTCGGTCACAGTCTGTATGTTGATCTATGAACTCGGTAGAGATCATCACAGAGTGTGACAGAATTTACCTACCATCACAGGCCGTGACAGAGAAATCACAAACCATCACAGAACGTGACAGAGAATTTACAAACCATCACAGACAGTGGCAGAGAAATGAATTAATTAACCAATTAGTTAATTAATTAATTTCTCTGTCCCGGTCTGTGGGGGTGGGGGGTGGGGGATGGGTCCAAATTTCTACCCTATATACTTCAACACTCCTTTCAGATCGTGTTTCACAAAAGTTAGTAGTCAATTCGAGTTTTTCCAAAGATGATTCATTTCGATGGTTAATTCACAAAAACACAATAGTCAGCTATGTGCATCTCACTGTACTCTATTCTATGGTATATGCGACTCTGATATACAAGGCACTATGATGCCAATATTACAAAAACTAGCGAGAACCCGTCCATACTTCTCGGCTGTTTTCTCCTTTAATTTATGATCGTATACCTTGAATCATTTATCTGGTAACACATATAGATAGACAGTCTTCGACCTTATAGCCTCATATATGCTGTAAATCTTAGAGTCATATCTCTTTATTATCTTACATCCTTGAGAATCTATCAATACCCCAATATAATAGCCCTGTTGCTTTCCAGTGCAGCGTTATTAGAACTTTAGCATTTGACCTTCGAACCGGCACATATGTTTGTTTGTCTTTTCTAGATTGCTTTTTCATTTAATAAAAAAACAATTGAGTTCATCAAATGTTTTAGCTTTACTGAATTAATAATAAATTTTATTTTTAATTATTGTCGCATGATTTATTTTGGTATGAGGTGTTTACTTTACGGCGCTGACCGTCTTATTTATACCGAGTTATCTGATAACTCATGAGAAGGGTGTGGGTGTGGGTGTGGGTGCGGGTTTAAATAGTCACTTCATTCATCCACAACCACACCCACCCACATCCACTCACACCCACACCCACACCCAAAATATGGGTGTGGTAGTTTTGAAGGATGGCATTTCGAATGTACATGAATAGAATGAAAATATTAAATTTCCGCCAGTGCCTAATATACTAGGCTAATCCTCGGTATTCTCACGGATGTTCTCGTAAATGCTAATCTACGTAGTTCATCTTTCAAATTCACTCCGAATACAGCTCTCTCCACGATCGATACCTTTGACATCGGTTTCTAAGGCGAACTAAGTTGCGTCTTTAAAATGCAATTATTAAAAGCAGGAAAAATAATTTCACAGAACAGCGTTTGTAAAAAGCCCAACCCAGTTTGGAACGATATTGACTCTTATAATGTGTATTTCTACTCGTGGATAACATTTTTCGTATCCTATTAGCGTCTGACACCTTTGTTTTCTTTGTAGATTAAACGGTCTAATGCATAAAAATATAGAACTGCCACTATATTATTCAAAACCTTTATTCTTCTATAGTAGGATAAGTAATATGACTTTTAAATTCTGTTCTCGCACGTGTATGAAAAAATTGCAAAAATCATTCTACAGCTTTCTTTATTTTGAAGAGCTAAAATTTAATTAATCGATCTATTCCTCGTACCAATCCTGTCTGTCATAGGAAACTAGAGCAGCAATTAGTCCACTGTTTTCAACTTATTACAATTGCTCATTTAAAAAATCCACAACTCATGGCAACAAACTCGTCGTATTCTCAAAAAGTGCTCAACTGCCGTGGTCGTGCTTGTGCTAAATGTGGTTACTGCCGTGATTGGTACTACACACCTCATCATCCTACGAAGATTTATACAAAGCGTCAGGATGCAATCTGCACTTCTGCTTATGCGTATGGTCATCGTGGTTTTGGTCCTGGTTGTGGTGGTTGCTGTCTTTGTTGTGTTGCTCACATTCCTTTTGGTAATCTTTGTTCTCGTCCTTATTATGGTGGTAGTGGTTTTCTTCGTGGTGGTCTTAATTATAATATTCAGACTCTTGCTGGTGTTGATCATGCTGCTCGTCGTCGCCGTAATAATGCTGTTGGTGTTGCTACTCATGTTGATCTTGTTCTTGGTAGTATGTTTCGTGATGTTACTGTTTTTGCTAATGGTATCGCTGATCTTACTGATGATACTCTTAATGCTCGTATTGCTCTTGGTCGTGCTCATCATGATGATGGCCGTTTGTGTGAATGTAGTGACAATCAGCAGTAACTGTCCTTTAGTGGCGCTGAAAGTGTTTTTGTAGTTTTCATTATTAGTTGAAGAAATAGAGCATATTAAGGGAACGATTGTAGTCCCTTTGTCCGATGTGGATCAGTCTGACGAAAGTCTCATGAATGTTCATTTGTGTTAACTAACAGTTTCATTACTTATTTTATGTGTATGGCAATTGCTAATCAATAGTCTTAATTATTCGAAAAGTTTGAGTTTGGCGATGATTGTTCCTCTCAAGAAGTATGATAAATAATATTGAGGGTAACAATCGGTGTTGATTGCCAAGTGAGATCTTTGTCATGTTTATAATGAAGATTGGTTTTATAGTTGAGTATTTTACCCATTTTCAATATCAATAAAATATCTGCTTTATAGCTCGTGTCTTCACATGATAAATACATTAAATTTGACTTGGAGGAATTAATAGCTTGGGTATCCTATGTAAATCAGAAAGAATTGAACGGTGAGAACAGTTAATATTACTGGTTACGTCTTACCTTAAGGAACTCGTCACGTAATTTTATCCCTAGTCCCATTCAAACAGATCAAGTTGAGACTGTTTACTCTGTTACAAATTCAATTATCTAAACCAAATCCACAATTGCAATTTCAGAACACGATGACATATTGCTTGAATTAAAAGCTATACTTGTTTCACGTGAACCAGACATTAGTCTAAAAGTAGGGTGTGGGTGTGGTTTTGGGTGGCAATGGGTGTCATTCCTGGCTTTAACAACATCCATACGCACACCCACACCCTCAGAGATATCTGACTCACAATTGAGAAAAATTGTCCCGATTCTCGCCTTCGCTTCTCCAAGATACGACGTTTTTCAAGCTGAGGGTGCTTTTTACAAGTACTATCCATGGAAAAAAGTAGGTAGAAACCGACTTTTTTATACTTTCAAAAGATTTTTTAAACAAGGAAAAGTCCTTTTAACTGAACTTTTCTAAGCATTTTGCATACTGTTTCATTAAAAAGTACTATTAAGTGGTTTTAAAACTGGAAAAGTCTCAGAAAGTACTTTAAAAAGTGAAGAATAGTAAGAAAAGTGACGTTGTTTTAACTTGTTTATAGCATTAAAAGTAGTTAAATGCATATTTTGCTCACTTTTTTTTATATGGGGTGGCCACTGTTTGGAGTGGGTTTTTTTTCGTTGCTCTTTCTCTTTTCTCCTTCAAATAAAAATTCAAAATATGAAAGATATAAAAAATGTATGCTTTCTTCAATGGTGCTTCTTTTGTGAGAGCTCCTAAAATCAACAGAATTTTGTTTTTGACACCAAAAAAACTTACCCATCTTTAACAGTAATTGGTATGCATGAAAAAAAAGTCCGCTTGTTATAAATTACTGCGTCGTAGAAAATGGGTGAGGGTGTGAGGGTGTGAGGGTTTGGGTGTGGGTGTAAATCGTATTGAGTTGCCTAATGGTTTACAACGACAACAACAACGAGATAAGACATCAACAATGATGGTCACAACCAGAGCTGCAAGCCAGGCTGAATTGTTTAGCATGGATATGGTCTAACACTAACTTTTGAAATATTGAAGTGCAAGAATGAAACGATTGCATACCTCAATGTGGATTCCTTTTCATATTTTCTTTTGATCATAAATTCAAATCAATATTTTCATATGCTTTATAAGGTCTGTTGGCCGTGTTTTTCACTCTTAGCTCTTCATTTCTCAGATATTCAGAATTATTAAATGTTTTTGAATTTCTTCCTTTGATAAAACGGAGCTACTTTAATCTCTAGCTCTATGTATACCAGGACTATTCAAATGCTTCTTAATGATTCAATCTTATACTAAGGAATATCATTGTACTCAGTTAAAGGGTTTCATGATTTGAAGAGCCAATCTAAATTAGAATCCAATGTAAAATTTCGTTTAATGAAAATGATGGAAAATTGGGTTCTGCCCAGCTATAAAATTATCATGTGAATAAAAGTTATTATACTGTAAGATTAGAAAAAATTAGAAAAGAGTTTTAAGTTAACTTTGAAAATTTTTCATTCGTGCATATCTGAGATTGAAGATACCTTACATATTACTAAGTACTTAAGATAATTAATAGTTTCCGTATCTACACAGTTTTACATTTATTTCAAAATAAAATTAAAATATGTTCACACAAATTCTTGAATTTCAATATCTCCTTCATTGGCTACTTGTTTGAAAGTGTTTCATTTCAAAACTCAGGTGCATATTCCTGTGTCAAAGATTTTCATAAAGCTGATCGTAAAGTGATACATGACTGCTCTCAGTTGAGAATTGACATACTACATTCTAGTGCTCTCATGAGAAGAAATCGTATGACCAATTGAGACTTATACAGTGAATTAATGCTAATTTGAAACATTAGTTCGCCTGGTTTGTCCTACAGGTGTCTGTTGACATCTCTGGTCTCAACTACATGCTGAGGTGTAGCCATATCTTGCACTCTTTAATGTCTCAGCTACAGCCTGGAATTAAGTTTAAAACATATAAAACTGGAGTTATGTCGTACTTTGGGCCTCTAACCGATGTGTATTCTGTCGTGTTTCCGAGGAAAAATGCAGAATAAAGTGTTGATAAATAATTATTATGGTAAAAAATCTAACGGAATTTTGACAATTATAGAAACTCGACATTAGCGAAATTCAGATGATGAAACTCTGTCCTACCACGAGGATACCAGGGATACGAAAGATACGATGGGAATACAGAGGATATTATGAAAAGATAGAAGATGTAATGGGTTTCAAAGGATATGAAATGGATACCAAGAATACCAAAATTCAATTTTCGTCTTGGTGAAAAATTATGGCGTCTTATATACTCAAGAAGATAAGCTGAAGTTACCGCTTTTTGTTCTATACTATTAGACTCGACCGACGCTTTTGCGTATGTCAAGACAGCATTTAATAGAGAAAACTGTTAGACATGAAGTAAATTATACTGTTATTTTTCTGAAATTAAATAATTACATAACATAAAATGATATGCTTGTTCTACATGGAAATGTGTGATGAAGTACATACGACATTTTTCGTAATCAATAATATTTATTTATCTGAACTGAATAACCAGCGTTCTCATCGAATATATCGTATGCATTTTATATTTCTTCATTTTATCAGATTATATATTCTGTATCCTCTACGTATCCTGTGTATCCCCAATGTATTTTCTGTATCCCCATTGTATCCTTTCGTATCCTTCGTATCCCCGATGTATCCCCATTGTATGCTTCGTATCCTGTGTTTCCCGACCGTATCCGGGATAGACGGAATCCACTTTTTCCCTCTTGCGATTACAGGTAAAATGCATAGAGCTATCGAAGATAAACACGTGGATGCTACCTCGACTAAAACAAATAAATATGATTTTTATATCATTCGATAGCGCTTTTCTTGAGGGTGTGGGTGTGTGTATCCATCAAAAGAAGAACTACACCAAAATTCGCACTTACATCCACATGCACACCTACACCCAGTCACTCTCTGATTTAAACCATAACTACATACTAATTAAGATGCGAACAAAAAATAACAAAAATATTATAAAAATTTTTAAAACTGAGTTTTTTCTGAAGAATCTTCAATATTTCTTTTTGATTTATGCAATCTACATTCTAATAAAAGTACAGGTTTAGGTTTGTAAGCATTGTATTATTGTATCTCAATCACTTGTTTCTACCAGTTTGACCCACACTTCTTCGGGTGTGATAGCCGTTCGTTCACTGATGTTAAATTTGCCTTCGAGGTTTTCACCAGGCAGAATCGTATACTTTCGAAGTAGCTGTACGAGTAGAAGTTTTATCTCCATCAGTGCAAAGCGCATACCAATACAGTGTCGTGGACCTGCTCCAAATGGCAAATAGGCCATTGGATGACGCTTTATTTTATGACGTTCAGGAACGAAAACGTATGGATCTTCAGGACCCCAAAGTTTACGATCATAATGAATTGAATAGACATCAGCATGCACTAAGCTACCTTAAAAAAATAAAATGCATGTAATTTAAGAAGACACCATCTGATAACACTCTCAGGAAGTCGATGCTAAAATCGGAAGTACCTTGCTTTCTCAGTTCTAATTTTCATACGTAGATGTTCTCATGCTTCCATATAAAATTGTTATAGATCGAAAGAGTTTTTGAACAAGTCAAAAAATTCAAAACGGAAAAACTTTTAGACTATGATACAGTTATTGTGAATCATCTCATACATAAAAGATCGAAAGTCTTGGGTACTATAAAAATGTATACTTGCCCTTTTCAATGGTAATTCCTTGTACAACTGTATCTTTGGAGGCACATCTTTGAATGAACATATTTCCAATAGGATACATTCTCAAGACTTCAGAAATGAACATATCCATATAAGGCATCTGCATGACTAAATCATAGTCGGAATATTTTTTTCTTTCCTTATCAAATTCATCATCATCGTTGAAGGGAAGTTGGTTTATTTCATCTTGCAGTTTATTGACAACTTCTGGATGTCTAGCAAGCTCATATGCTGCATAAGCCAGAGCAGTTGATGTTGTTTCATATCCTGCTGCCATAAAAACAAGGATATTAACGATTGTTTCTTTTCGAGTTAGCCGATAGTTTGCCTTGTCATCGTTTTGCACCTCGTCCTACAAATTAAATGTATATTTATATAGTTAATAAGGTTATAACTAACTTAAGTCTCTTTGACCGAATGGAAAACTTTTGATTGTTCGCTGTATTTCAACTTAGAGATCGTAATAGAAGTTTCAATGTAATCTTTTTCTATCATTCGAAAATTTTAACAACGCCATGAATATACTGGTACATCTCATTGTACTCAGTTTCCTACGTTAAGTAAAAGGGAAATACTTTGAAAAACTGAGTAATATCACAACCAGACGTCAGTTTGATCGTTCTGATAATAAGTAATTTTCTCTTTAAAAGCAATCCAAAAACTCGAAAATTTCTTATCCAGATCTCCATTACAAAGCACAAAGCAATCACTCTTCAGCAACATGGTAAGTCTGTTCAATCATACGATATCTCACAATCTTTATTTCTCTGTAGCCTTTTCAACAAGTGATACTTTACTGGAAATTATCGATACTGGTAATATACTCAAAGTGAATTACTACACTAGAAGATACTTTTTAACTTCTATAGATTTAAGTATACTTACGTTAATTTTTTCGTCAGTCATCACTTGTAACATCAGTTGCAAAAGGTCGATTCGTGAAGTAGGTGTCTGCTGTCGCTGCTCGATAATTGGATGTAGTCGGCTGAAGAGCCAAATATTTGGTGGTTCATATAGTTGTTTTATTGAGATTAGTGGTATAAGATATTTATTGATTAATACTCGTGCGATGTTTGCACCAAAAACGACTTTATTAAGAATATTCGCTACGCGAGGCGTAAATTCGCCAAGTCGGAAGACCCAACGTGAATTAATATTGTGGGCAAAGAGTTCTTCCACTTTCTTGAAATATATATTGTCTGGATTGTTTTGTACATCTGTGTCAATTCCAAATGCACATCGACCTAAAGATCATCAATAATGATAGCTATTAGGATATTCTCGTAAGAATCCTGAAAGTGACTATAAGATGTGTAGGTATTCTGTTGATCAATAACTACACACTTACATCCTCAAGAAGATAATTGTCAAATGCTATATTCAATTATATATTTAATGAGTTCTGAAAAAAATGAAGGAGAGCTCTTTTCGAAATACTTGCAAAGACCATTAAGTCTCAAAAAAATCTATCAGCAGATTTCACGAATTACAATAGATGGAAGAATTTTTTGGACATACTCTGATATAATTTCAAGGCGGTAAAAAGGTCCCAAATATCTTCTATCTTTGCTTGAATAAGATCAATTGTGAAGATATTCATACTATTATAATGTGGCGCAGACGTTTAGCTAACCGGTCTTGGACAGGCCTAGTAAGCTATCAAATTTTATAGAAGATCTCGAACCTTACGAAATATAGATTTTTCTTCTTTACCAGCACCCACACTCATCAAGTAAATCGCAGCAAATTCGCAGACTCATTACTAGTACTTACATATCACATCCATTGTCAGTCGCTTATAATATAAGTAGATATTGAATTCATTGGCGTTTTTTACATGAGTGTCTAATTTTTCCATTAGATCATCAATGCACTCATTGATAAGAGGACTCATCATTTTTAATTTCGCGGTAGAGAACGTTGGATTTATGACCTGACGGTGCCGGCGCCATGGTGCACCCGATGATGAAAATACGTTATGAACACCAATACCTCTGAGAACTTCTCTTCGCCCTTGAAAAGCGGCAAATTGTTTGACAAAAACTTCCTGAAGAAAATCAGGATCGCTAACAACAAAAGTAGGAGTAGTTCCTTGGTAAATTCCATATATTTGGCCATATTGCTTTGTCCAACTTTCCAGTTGACGATGAAAAGCCGGAGTATTCCACAAAGTTTTTAGATGTCCAAAGAAGAAATGGAAAGGTGGAGTAGGAATACCACGTCGACTGAAGTATCGATGAAGTTGCTGTAGTAGAAAAAAGTAATAACCCAGAAGACCAATGCAAATGAGAAATAGAACCAAAAATAAAGTCGACATTTTATATACGTTTTACCTCAATACTATCGATGAAGAAAATAACGTTAAAGTAGAAAAGCGTGACTTTTTATCCACATCGACGACAAACAGACTGCTTTTTCCTATTCTTCGCTCGATGAAGTAAAAAATATGGTTACCAGCGCTAGTTTATTTGATGAATCATGTATGTCATTTTGGTTTCTTCAGAACATATAAGAAAGGCATACTTTGAGTTCGTTCTGTTTGTTTATTATCTTAAACTTTGATTGAAAAGAAATGAACACCTAGAGTCTATAATTCATAAGCGCACGAACTCGTCCTTTCCTTTCGCAGTATCTTGAGACGAGATACTTAAACCTTTTATAGTTTCAATGATTATTTTATGAAATACCTGTCTTTTATGAATATCGTTGGCACCTGTCAAATTTTGTTTTCCTTTTTCTTTGCTAGATTGATAGAGCGTTTTATGAAAGAATGTCTACTTTTCTCTTTATTCGTAAAACATTTGTGAAATATCTCTGAGGAATGAAAGAAAATTTTAAAAATGCTCCCCTATTTTTAATTTATTTTGTTTTCTTTATGTCATAGTCTGGAAAACGATAAAAAAATGATATTTTTCTAAACATGAGAACAATTGAGCAAGTTTATATCAGTAGATGTACTTTATAACAATTTAGTTTAAATCAATCTTTATATCTTGAGGGTGGCGGGTATGGGTGTGTAGGAAGCTACCACAATCGATTTCGACCTTGCTTAGGGGTCTCGTCAGGTGGCTTAATATCTTCAAAATCGATTTAAAATTCAAAACAAAATTTTGAACAAAATCCTTTCAAAATCCGAAAGAAGAGTTGCAACGAAACTGAATAGGGTTGGAGTTTGTTTTTAGTGGTTCGTGTGTTTGGTGTGGAAAACGTAATCGTAAATATATCGCGTTGTGTGTAATTACACGTAAGGTTTTCTTGTTGCGAAGTTAGTATCACATGTGTTACAGGTTGATCTTCAGAAAGTTTCGTAGTCGTTACTTCTGGCAAAGTTATTTGTTGAAAATGTTGTCATTTTTGTTGGTAGATGTTTCGAAGCGGGATAATTCTGATTTATATTTTTACAGATCTAGAATGGACGTCGTTTCAATAATCTTTCTTGGAAGTCAGTTATCTACTAGAACCACATTGAGAAAGAAAGAACATGTAGAATGAATTAGTTAAAGCGGGTAATTGTGGGTGTGGGTGTGGTTATATTTGAAGAAACACTCTACACCCACACTCTATGCATCCAACTCTCCTACCATTCAACAAAATGAATGTATTGCTTGAAATTACTTTTCCTGTTAGCCAACGGACCACTCATTGATTCAATTCTTCTCTTGTTATTTTACATTAAACTAGAGCGATTATATCAACACTTTCATCACTGTAATATAAAGCATTTTCCCTAGAATTTATGCATTGAAATCATTTTCACCATGTTCTATCATCTTTCCGACAATGTGCTGATATAAATGCAAGTCGTAATAACTTCAGTTTTCTATATTATAACATGAAGCATTGTCAAGGAATATCGTATAGTCGTAATATCTCGAAGCAATTCACGATGCTACTACTTTCTATATGCATTAAAAAGTTTGAAAAATGAAAAAAATCATGGAAAATCAGTTTAGTGATACAAAAACATTTTTTATTAATAGAAATAATGTCAGAAAAAGATACAAGATTTTGTCACAGCTATCTAGATTTACAAATATATATATATATTAGTTGTAGTGATGGATAAGTGCAACAATAACTGAAAAATGTTTTAGTATAGTGGATGAATGATTCATTTTAGAAATAAAATTCTTTGAGACTGAAAAATTTCTTCGCCAAGGAAAAAATGTTCTATACCGATGAAAAGAATACATGAATAGGTGGATGTCACTATTGGCTGATCTTAGAACGTTATACATGTTGGAAATAGTATTTTTCATGTGTGTTGTTGCATACTTCTTCTGTCTTCAAACATATATATATATATATATATTGAAGCAAACGAAAGAAGAAAATAGACTAAGCTTTCGAAGGAAAAATATTTCCCTAGAGAGATGAATCATTCTGCACCGTAACCAAAAATTTTATTAATATAAAATGATCGATTCGAAGATGTGACAAAAACCTTCGGCTTTCATCGACAAATTGTTAGATAAGAAAAAATTATTTTTTTAAACGAGCTAATCGAATTTAAGATTGCAATGAGAAGGGTATAATAAGTTCATAGAATCTATACATATTAAGAGCATTAAAATTGAGTAGGCGACGATCTGATCTCAACAGATTTGTCGAATAAATTAAGCAGAAAAGTTTTCACAATTATCATCGAATGGATTTTATGTTATAATTAGTCATAATTATATATGTTAAAGAATTTTTATCTAAATACAAGTTTTAAATTCTTATAAATTTACTTCTCTAATAATTTTGGAAAAGCAATTACACAATTGTGTTATGCAATATTTTGCATAAGTAACCATTTTGTATGTCTAAAGAGATATTTAATATAATCTTTTTCTCTGTTTAATTCATTGAATCGATACACATCATTCTATTTGAATATTTAATCGATTATCTTCATGAATTCTTCTAGATGATACTAACCTTTTCAAAACGAGCGAAATTGTTTCGATCAATTTACGTATGATTATCAGCAAAAATTTAACATCGGATTATTTATATTCTACAATTTTTGAACAAGATATTGTCATGTAATATAAATTATTCTGTTTAGTTTAACAGTGATGTGCAAAGCATACTGATTTAATTTAATGCATGTTCTTTAAATGTCTTTAGCCTATTATAATGGAACCATTCAATCACGTGAAAACTTTCGAAGATTCAAAATCAAAATAGCAAGTAATCAGAGACTCATCTAACATTGAATATAGCGATTTTGAAGAGTATAACATTTTGACAAATATACCGAAACATAATCTGAACAATTCCATAATTATCCGAGTCAGTAAGACCAGAAATAAAAGTTTTACCAGGTGTATTGAAAGCTGATCCTCTACGACAATTGAAACAAGTTACTAAATAATTGATCATAGCAGTTTAATAAATTAGCCATATTTTTTCCATTGAATTATTTCCTCCGATTGATCAAAAATAATTTTCAAATTGCTGTTGTAGAAAAACTAATGATATTATGTTTTATTTTAAAATATAATAATAATTCGACATACCATAATATACTCAGACTGTTCAATGATAGCTTAATTTCTTTTTCAATAAGCTGTTTAGTCAACTTGGGTAGAAATTCACCGAATCGAAGCAATAAATCTTTCAGATTTTAAGGTAAAAAAAAGATTATTGCGAGATAACACTCCAATATCTAAGTGGAAATAAATTATAATCCAAGAAACCGCTATTGATGCATTTGACGATAGATTGATGTGTGCTTTTGTTAACAAAAGAAGCAGAATTAAAGATAGTGTAAATAAAAAACTAAAAAATGAGTTTACAGAGTGTTGTTTCGAGCATTGAAAGTTGTAAAAACGTATACTTGCAATCTACTATGAAAGAAAAAAGATCGCATAATCTTTCATAAGTACACAAAGATAATTTGATAGACACCAAGAAACTATTACGTAAAATTTCTCGTTATTCTGTCTAATGATATCATTCCGTTGAAGAATCATATGTTGTTGCATCTGTGTATTTAATAACAGTAACGAACTCTTCAATTGATATTTATCTACAATTGATCTTAAAATATCCTAATTCATATATTAATAAGCCATGAAAATAACTCTCTGAGAATAAAGATAGAAAAATTTCCAATTCATGCTCAAAATATGAGAAATGAATAAATTTTCTAAGTTTTCAATTTATGAAGTAAATTCAATTTGCTGTCATGTTATGAAGTCTAACTTAGTTGCATCACTAAAATATCATTTCGATAATTAAACTTCCCAAGAGTAATTATTAAGTCATCGCTTCAAATAGATACTGAATTCATAGCTATTGCGATTCGTGCTACTTGTATATATATATATCAGTCAAAAAGAAGTATTTGTCACTTATCCTACGAAGAAATTGTTGTTATCAGAAATCTTCTTTATTGTGAACTAATGCATGTTGTCATTTTTTCAGTTCAGAGCATTTGAAACTATATAAATTTATTCATTTTTGATAAATACATGCAAAAAATTCTTCTTGTTCTACAGTTACTCATTGCGTTCAAAATGATTTTTTCATAGAGTGACAGAATATTTGATAATAATTCTATATTCTTTTTAAATATTCTACATACCAGCAGAGTAGCAAATATTTAAAACAGTAAAAAATTTCAAGAAAATGATATCAAGATTAAGAATAATGCATAACTACAAGAGACGTGGCAAGTACATATATGCATTCATATTCACATGTACATATATATACAGTGACAGAACGGAAAAATAATCAATACAGCAGTGTGGGTGTGGGTGTGGCCAAGTGGGTTTAGACAAATAATCAGTGCACCCAATCCCTCATTCTTAACCACATTCATTTACACCTACGCCCACACCACCCAGACGCTGAGGATGAAGACAAATGTTTGTTATCTTTCGAATCATGGTCAAAGTTCTCAGAGCAAAAAGTATCATCACGTTTATTTCCTTATAAAGCATCGACAAATAAAACATTTTTCACAGAGCGAGAAAGTGTATATGGCAGTTTGCACGATTAACCAAAGTACCAATCGACGTAACCGTCTTTTTCATCACTCGCCACGGCGAGGAACTCTTGATTCAGCATAGTACCATGAGCAGAGCCATCACGCTTGACACATATGTACTGATATTCTTGACTAAAATGTCCCCAAAAAAAATGTCCTTTCAAAAATATCCCTGGTTTTTCGTCCTCAGAAAAAATGTCCTCCGATATTTCGTCCTTGAAAAAATGTCCCCGAT